AGCTGCTAAATGCTTGATTTACTATGTTCTAAACAACTAGAAAAAGGCATTCACATGTTTCCGTGAAAATACTGTAGAATGGCTCAGGTGGAGATTCCAATTTCAGTTTTTAAATAGCCAGCTTTACTTTTAATGAAAATAGACAGTCTTAAATGGAAAGAAGATTACCACAGAGTTACCTGAAAGCCCAGAGTATCCATCTATTACTTCAACCGCTGCATACATTTAAAGCCTGCTTTGACAGCAAGACTTGGTAGCATTTCTAACTGATATAAAGATGTGCATTTCGTTCACAATCTCAAAAGACATACTATAGTATAGTATGCATACAACAGTATATTCAAACAGTATAGTGCAATTGCTCCAGTTCAAAAAGTCTGAAAATCTGCTCGTCTTTGAGCTGAAATTTTCAAGACCAGTGAGAAACCACTAAGCCTTGTGTCCCCTCCCCCACCCCCGCCCTTTTGTTGGATGGCTTCATCTGAAAAAAAGGAAGAAAATACCTGTAGAAAACCAGCTTGCACAAATATGAGCCACCTCCCCACACTCACCAATTTCTGTGCCTCTCAAAACTCTAGATTGGATTAATTCCCCCAAAGGTTAGTATCCAATTTAAAGTATTTTGCTATTACATAAAAACTAACCACCAAAATGATCCATTTTACATGTAAGGCTGCACTTCAGTTGCTGGTCCACACAACTGCTTTCAAGTACCAACAATAGTATACAGGAGCTTTTTTCATTTATCATTACATTAATTAAAAGCTTTCTTTCCACTAGTTGACAAATTCCTAAAGATACATGAAGTCTCTCCATTTCTTCTTCATATTCCTTATATTACATACTCAAAATAGGACATCTACGCAACACATTCCTAAATATACATTTTGCTGTAGCCACAGCAAATCAGCAGCAGCCAGAGCGCGGACAAACATGCAGCCGAGTCATACGCTTTTCTGAAAGGGCTGCGCTACACTTGAGAATGGCTGTGTTGCAAGTCCCTATCCTCTGCTGCCAAATACGCCATTAACTCCCTGCACAGGAGTTCCTCCCTGTCCTTAAGATTCTTGTCTTTACTCTTCGCATATGCAATGTTTGTTCCTACCACTATATGTAAATGCTACCTAGAATGAAAAGTGTATCCCTCTGTATTCATATACCTCATTTCAGGCAAGCCACACCCAGGTAATGCTATTTTACATATAAACTCACTTAGCACAGATACTGTGTCAACAAACTTCTGCATAAGCTTCATTGTTTCATTAAGGAAATTCCATGCATGTTTCTGCACCAACATTTAAACTAAAACTCCCCAATCAACCCCCTAATCAGTTATAAAGAGATCTATCGCATGACATACAACTAAAACGGATGCAATTGAGTTCTGAATCCGTCCCCCTGCTGGAGGCCCCTGCCCACCTGCAGCCACGCATTCTCTCTGAGGAGTTCCTTACTCACAGCGTAGTCACCCTGAACAGCTAGATTGACAACAGCATTTTTGCACCGAAAAGAATTCCTGACTTCTTGCACAGAAGAATGTTTCACATTACTACCTAATCCTGCTCTCACCTGAAGGCTCATTCAGTGTTGGCCACTATCTGCGCTTCTGGGAAAGTTGGTTATTTACCATAAACACTCCATTTTCTCTGTAATTCTGCTTTCAAAAGCCCTGGCTCTGTTTTTTCCTCCTACTTCCTCCTACTCTTTCGCCAGATTCTCTACCCCAGAACAGAAGTCTCCATTTATCTTTTACCTAGTAGGATAAAAGACCACCTGAAAAAAAAAAACTATCTAAGAACACAAATAGGTGAAATTAAATCAAGACTTTTTGTTGAATTAAATGACACTTCAAATAATCTGCTCTTGAAGGAAGCTTCAGAGCAATTCCAGGGGTTCCCCCAACCCGGGGGGGGGGGGGGTCTCACAGCTGCTGAATTGCCCTCTATATTTAACTGTACTACAAACAGTGAAATTAATAGGAATGAACCAAACAGACAGGGTTGGTGTTATGCAGCGTTTCTAACTTCTGTTAAGCTTCATATAGTTGTTAGGACCTGGTTTACAGTTAGAGAATTACAAGAAATAGTCTATTTGTGCCCCCGTGATTTGGGAGTTAAAAAAAAAAAAAAACCACACCCCCACACACACTTTATCATTATTACCACTCAAACCACACTCTTGCAGTGCTTTTGGTACTTGGACTTGACCTTTGGATTGTGTCCCCTGTAGAAGGCCTGAGAAAAGTCAGGTATTACTACCTCAGCTGTACTTCCGTAACTGAACTACAGAACACCCTAGAGCACATAGGAATTGAGATCCATGAGGCTGTAAGGCTTAATTTGAAGAGCCAAACTCCAGCACATTCAGCAACAAATGTCTGCAAAGCCTGATTTTCAAAAGTGCCCTGAATCACGGGTTTCTTATAAAACTGACTGTCCTAATATTCAAGATTTCAAAGCCATTTTTAAAACAATGTAATGCTTAACATGAAGGCACTGGGGAACTCAGATTGCCACTGTGGTTACACTTTGTTATACAAGTCTCTGTCATGGTGAAAGGTTTAGAATTGAGGGATTTCTAAAATATACTTTCTGTTTGTAACTTGATAACATAAAATCCTCCATGCTCCAGATACTATTAAAACAAAATATTTTTTGGAAGGAAAGCATGGTTTTGTAGCCTATTTAAGAGTATTAATGAGCTGCGTCCAGAAATAAGGCAGTATCCGTGAAAAAAGTCTGTACAGCAGAAAGGTCAAGATATGTATTAGATATATTTAGTTTTCAATGCTCTAAGAATATTAAAGTGAACTTCAGCAGTGAGGAATTTCTTAAAACCTTGGCTGTAATCCTTTGAAAGAAATCTTGTCCTTAAGTGATAGTTCATTTGCAACCACTAGATGGCACCAAAGCCTTCTTTTAGGAATACATCTTAAAGCACTTAGGGCTGCAGCACGGTAGTTTCATTTACATAGCCTCACTAGGAAAAGCCCTAAAGGGGCCTGGGCCTGGGCCTGCCCCGCTGCTGGTCAGCAACATCTGAACAATATGCAAACATCCACTGAAGTGGATCTTAATACACTGTATTTTTATGAAGATCAGAAGTAAGTAGTTTAAAGTCTGGTTCCCCACACCCCCAGCCCGACCCTGTACCTGGCTCAGCTCCTGCCCCTCAACCAACGCTGACACTGGACAGATGTTTGCCCTGTCCCAAGAAAGGGCCACTAACTGGGAGAACACAAAAAGCCCTCCAC